GCTGAGTCACTGTTTGAGACTGAGTTAAGGTCAAGAGAGAATGAGTTGTTGTCTGGAGGAGCTGAGTCATTGTTTGAGACTGATTTAATGTCAAGTGAGGCCGGGTCATTGTCTGGAGGAACAAAGTAATTTTCTGGAGGTACTGAATCGTTTTCTGGTGATGCAGAGTCACTGTTTGACATTGAGTTAATGTTAAAAGAGACCGTGTCATTGTCTAAAAGAGCAGAGTCGTTGTCTGGAGACACTAAGTCATTGTCTAGAGACACAATGTTGTTTTCTGGAGCCACTGAGTCATTTTTTGACGCTGTGTTCATGTAAAGAGAGACTGAGTCGTTGTCTGGAGGTATAAAGTTGTTTTTTGACACTGATTTAATGTCAAGTGAGGCCGAGACATTGTCTGGAGGCACAGAGTAATTTTCTGGAGGCAACAAGTCATTTTCTGGAGATGCAGAGTCGCTGTTTGACACTGAGTTAATGTTTAGGGAGACCAGGTCCTTGTTTGGAGGAGCTGAGTCATTGTTTGAGACTGAGTTAAAGTTAAGAGAGACCGGGTCATTGTCTGGAGAAGCTGAGTCATTGTTTGAGACTGAGTTCATGTCAAGTGAGGCCGGGTCATTGTCTGGAGGCACAGAGTAGTTTTCTTGAGATGCAGAGTCGTTGTTTGACACTGAGTTAATGTTAAGAAAGACTGAGTCATTGTCTGGAGCCACCAAGCCATTGTTTGACACTGAGTTCATGTCAAGTGAAGCTATGCAATTGTCAGGAGACATTGAGTCGTTGTCTACAGATACGATGCCGTTCTTTGGAGGCACAGAGTCATTTTTTGACACTGTGTTCATGTAAAGAGAGACCGAGTTGTTGTCTGGAGATGTCAAGTTGTTTCTTGACACTGAGGTAATGTCGAGTGAGGCCGAGACATTCTCTGGAGGCACAAAGTCATAATCTGGAGGCACCGAGTCGTTTTCTGGAGATGCAGAGTCGTTTGATACTGAGTTAATGTTAAGAGAGACCAGATCATTGTCTGGAGGTGCAGAGTTGTTTTCTGGAGCCACTGAGTCATTTTTTGACACTGTGTAAATGTAAAGAGAGACTGAGTCGTTGTCTGGAGGTGTCAAGTTGTTTTTTGACACTGATTTAATGTCAAGTGAGGCCGAGACATTGTCTGGAGGCACAGAGTAATTTTCTGGAGGCAACAAGTCGTTTTCTGGAGATGCAGAGTCGTTGTTTGACACTGAGTTAAAGTTAAGAAAGACCGGGTCATTGTCTGGAGGCACAGAGTGATAGTCTGGAGGCATTGAGTTGTTTTTTGACGCTGTGTTAATGTCAGGTGAGGCCAGGTCATTGTTTCGAGGCAACAAGTCATTCTCTGGAGGTGCAGAGTCCTTATCTGGAGGAGCTGAGTCGATGTTTGAGACTGGGTTAAGGTCAAGACAGAATGAGTCATTGCTTGGAGTCACTGAACCATTGTTTGACACTGATTTCATGTCAAGTAAGGCTATGTCATTGTGTGGAGATATTGAGTCATTGGCCGGAGGCACTGACTTATTTTCTGGATAAGCAGAGTCGTTGTTTGACACTGACTTAATGTTAAGAGAGACCAAGTTGTTGTCTGAAGGTGCTGAGTCGTTTTTTGACCCTGAGTTCATATGAAGAGAGACCGAGTCATTGTCTGCACTAACATGTTCATTTTCTGGAGGCGCAGAGTCGTTGTTTGAGATTGACTTAATGTGAATTGAGGCCATGTCATTGTCTGGACAGACTGAGTCCTTGTTTGATACCGAGTTCATTTGAAGAGAGACCAAGTTGTTGTCTGGAGACAACGAGTTGCTGTTTGATAACCCCGAGTTATTCCCTGAAGACTCCAAGTCTTTCTTTGGTGACACCAAGTCATTGAGCTGAGAGAGAACATCACTCACCCATCTGAGAGGGATGTTGGATGCATCTCCATCTACAAGCTCAAGAGGAAATCCATCAAGGAACAACTCTGCACACAGTTTGGGCAGATGCTGTAATTGTTGATGTGATCTGTCTGTTTCTGGAAGAGACAGTGAAGCTTCATAGATCTGACCCATTTCACGGAAGAAGTGTTCGGTCCCCAGTGAGCTGTTGGAAATTTGTCTGTCAATTTCTTTGATCTCCTCTTTGTTCTCAGAGTTCTTGCATTTTTCTTTATATTTCTCCCTGAGTTCAGACAGTTTTATACGAGACACATTATCGAGGTTCATTCGTATCCATTTCAGGAAATAAAACCTCTCTGTTCCTGGGCTTGATATCCCAGTGATGAAGTTTGTCATAGCTGTCGACATCTCATAAGAGTTTTGCTTTTTCCGCAGTTCCTCTTTATGTTTCTGAAGATTACTTTTGTAATCTTCTATATTGTTAGATCCATAATTTCGAAGTCGAAACTCTTCCTTCTCTAAGCAGGCAAGGTCTTTCAATATTTGGCCTTGCCGGGGAAGCTGATCTTCTTTGTATTTATGGATGTCTTGAATTTCTGAAGTGATGGCTTCAGCATTTTTCTTTGCAGTCTGGCACTCTGGAATGTCTTCATCAACCAGAATTCCCAGTTCATCTTTAACATCCACCATCTTCTCTATTTTCATCTTCAGCTCTGATTTCTCAACCACATTTCTGACTTTTTTCCTCAAATCTTTTACAAAGTCTGCATCATTTTTCTTATTTGTCTTAAAAATGATGTTGTGTTTTGTAAAGCCCAACTTGTTTGCTACTTTTTCCAAAGCATCTAAATTGAAGCGCTTGCTCTCACAGTTACCAACCAAGAAGATCTTTGCTTTGTGGTTTTGGCTTTTAAACAGATTGATCACAGACTCAGACTCAGAATCCAAATGGTCAAAGAAAACAAAAACTGCTGCAGATGTCTGACACAAAAAGGAGTATTGTGTTTCAAATGAAGCAATGTCCCCACGAAGGTTAGCTACAGCCACTGGCTGACTGAAAATATCAATGTTTGTGTTTCCACCAGGAAGATACCAAGTAATTTCAGTCAGTCCATTAGAAATTATTCTTGGACTGTCACCACACTCCATGTTGTGGTGAACAAAGGTGTCGTGGTACTGCTGAGAATTGCGCAGAAGTTTATTGAGAATCTCTGACTTGGACAAGGAGCACTCACCCAGTCTGACAAAAGAGACCATTGGAAGTTCAGAGAGAACAATCCTTTCTTCAATGAAGCCTTTTGACTGTGAAAGAGACTGAGGTCTGTACTTTTTAACAATGTCTCTCATGGCCCACAGCATGAGTGTGCACTGTTCTGTGTCACAATTGGGAAGCAGCAGAGGGACAGAGAACTGACACATGGACATTTTTAGTGCCATTTCCTGCTGTAGAAAACCATCAGAACACAGAAAGAGAGCAGTGATTATGTCGAGTGGGTTCACCATGTTATCTGTGTTTGGACTGCTGACCATATTTTTAAGATTTAACTTTTTAGTTCCTGATGTATCATCACTGGTTGAATCACACTCTGATGTACATTTCACATTCCTAGCAGTGACATTAAACATCATTAGTTTCTTTAGAAAATACCATGGAAGGTCAGATTTACACTTGGCAGGTTCATCAGTGGTGGTCCTAATGCCAATCTCAAGTATTCTGCTGAGCGATAGCTTCTCTCTGTAGTACTGCTTCAAGCCCAGTTCTTCCAATAAGCTCTCCAGATGTTTCACTGTGGATGTGGGAGTTAAAAGTTATTACATCCTGTTTTTATCCAGTATGCCATCTTTTTTTTTAATTTTTTGAATGCTGTAAGGCATTCACACTATTGAGTTCCTGTTTCTCTTTATTCTTTGTCCTTTACAATACTGTGGATGCTTAATCACCATCCACGGTATTGTTCTTCAGTATTGTTCTTCTATTCTTCTATAACAAATTTATCTTAAAATCTTTTCTTTAAACTGCTGCTGTGTCCACAGCATTTTTCTCTACAGGTATGATTTTACCCTCAAAACGTAGCCATTGCTGTCCTCTTTCATCCAATGTGTTTATTATTGTAATAGGTGTTATCGTTCTGTCATAAATGTCACCGATGCACAGCCTCCTCCCTCCAACTCCTCCATAGACTCTAATTTGCAAAACAGCTCCAGCTCAGTCAGATTAGATGGACAGCGTTTGTGAGCAGCAGTTTTCAGATCTTGCCACAGATTCTCGATTGGATTTAGATCTGGACTTTGACTGGGCCATTCTAACACATGGATATGTTTTGTTTTAAACCATTCCATTGTTGCCCTGGCTTTATGTTTAGGGTCGTTGTCTTGCTGGAAGGTGAACCTCCGCCCCAGTCTAAAGTCTTTTGCAGACTCCAAGAGGTTTTCTTCCAAGATTACCCTGTATTTGGCTCCATCCATCTTCCCATCAACTCTGACCAGCTTCCCTGTCCCTGCTGAAGAGAAGCACCCCCAGAGCATGATGTTGCCACCACCATACTTGACAGTGGGGATGGTGTGTTCAGAGTGATGTGCAGTGTTAGTTTCCACACATAGCGTTTTGCATTTTGGTCTCATCTGACCAGAGCAGCTTCTTCCACATGTTTGCTGTGTCCCCCACATGGCTTGTGGCAAACTGCAAACGGGACTTCTTATGGTTTCTGTTAACAATGGCTTTCTTCTTGCCACTCTTCCATAAAGGCCAACTTTGTGCAGTGCACGACTAATAGTTGTCCTATGGACAGATTCCACCACCTGAGCTGTAGATCTCTGCAGCTCATCCAGAGTCACCATGGGCCTCTTGGCTGCATTTCTGATCAGTGCTCTCCTTGTTCGGTCTGTGAGTTTAGGTGGACGGCCTTGTCTTGGTAGGTTTACAGTTGTGCCATACTCCTTCCATTTCTGAATGGAAGGAGTATGGAATGGGATGTTCAAGGCTTGGGAAATCTTTTTGTAGCCTAAGCCTGCTTTAAATTTCTCAATAACTTCATCCCTGAGCTGTCTGGATCTAAATCCAATCGAGAATCTGTGGCAAGATCTGACAACTGCTGTTCACAAACGCTGTCCATCTAATCTGACTGAGCTGGAGCTGTTTTGCAAAGAAGAATGGGCAAGAATTTCAGTCTTTAGATGTGCAAAGCTGGTAGAGACATACCCTAAAAGACTGGCAGCTGTAATTGCAGCAAAAGGTGGTTCTACAAAGTATTGACTCAGGGGGCTGAATAATTACACACACCCCACTTTCCAGTTATTTATTTGTAAAAATGTTTGGAATCATGTATGATTTTCGTTCCACTTCTCACATGTACACCACTTTGTATTGGTCTTTCACATAGAATTCCAATAAAACTGATTCATGTTTGTGGCTGTAATGTGACAAAATGTGGAAAAGTTCAAGGGGGCCGAATACTTTTGCAAGCCACTGTAAGTGGACCTTGTGTTCTTCAATCGTCCTGGAAAAAATCAAAATATTATTCAGATAGACCAGTGGTTCTCAAACTTTTTACATCATTGCCCACATGGCAGGAAGAAATGTTTTCACGCCCCATCTAAACAAAATGACAGAAAAGCCGAGCTGCAACTTTATTAAGATAATTAACTCATTCACAATGAATCCTTCAGTAATTTGTTTTAAACAAGCAACTTTTATTTCAAACAACTATTTGCAACTTTTGTCACTAGACTGCTTAATTAGTCTGCACCACTTCTTAAAAAAAGCAACAAGTTAAACAGAATGCGAACATTGCCAAACATGGAAAAAGAAAGTTCAGTCTTAGGTTTATTAAAAAAAAGGAAATCCAGAAACTTGTAAAATGAAAAATATATGTGACCATATTCTAACTGTACACAAATGCAGCGAGATTCAATGTGCAGCTACTTAATATCCTAATCTCTCAATAATACATGTAAGAGAGATAAGAATACTAAAATTATGCAGTGTATATTAAAAATAACACAACAACGGGTTCCGGTGACGTCACCCCACCGAATGGCAGCTTAACGGGTAGCTCTCTCTCATAATTAATTCTTTCACCCCGTAAAGTGTCTAAATTATTAAAAATCTTTCGAAATACAGTAAAGGATGATCTGATATCCTCGTGTTGGTGTTGTTCCCAGACCATCATGAAAATGTTGTTCCAGGTTCAACATTGCAAGTGACCAATCACATTGTTGTGACGTTATTCTTTTGCACGTCAAGCCATTCGTGCATTTATGAAATTCCAATGTTGCAAGGACAATATCAATTCTGCTTACTGTTTATTAAAGGGTTACGGTTAGGGTTAGGGTCAGGGTCCGTTGATCGGCGGACAGAGGCGGTTTCTCGCAGCTTAAGTACAGTTTTTTGTTTTACGCCGGTTTTTCCCGAAGTCGCAAAATTATGACGTCACAACGTTCTGATTGGTCACTTGCAATGTTGATCCTGGAACAACATTTAGTATGATGATCTGGGAACAACACCAAAACGACGATATCAGATCGTGCTACAGTAAAGGTATACGCGGGGTGACAAGCAGAAAGGTTCAGCATAGGAACGTACAAATGAAGGGATTCCTGCAGCGGCGTCACCACCTCGACACGAAGCTAATGCTATGGCTAGTACGGAGGAAGATTCAGCTTTAACCACGATACTGGAAGAAATACGGGACTTTCGGAGAGAGTTCCAAGATTTCAAGTCTGACCTGGTCAGAGTCAACAATAAGATAACCGAAGCAGAGACCCGTATGGCGAAAGTGGAAGACCGAGTGCAAAACGCAGAACAGGTGATGCTAAAGATGCTAAAAATCATCAGCGAGCAAGAAAATAAAATTGTGGACAAGGAAAGCCAGGCCCGGCGAAAGAATCTAAGGCTGTACAACGTACCCGAAGGAGCGGAGGGCTCCTCGATGCCAGCTTTCTTGGGAAAAATACTGAACGAATGTCTCGATCTCCCCCAGGGCATAGAGCTTGGCATCGAGAGATCACATCGGGCCCTGGGAGCAGCGAGGAACCGAGAAGAAATTCCCCGCTCAATATTAATACGTTTTGCCCGCTTTACTACAAAGGAAGAAGTTTTGCGCAAAGCGTGGGCCAAGAGGACCATCCTGTTGAACGGTCAGAGAATATACTTTGACCAGGACTATTCCCCAGCCATCCTGCGGAAACGTAAGGACTATGCTGAAGCTAAAAGGGCTTTGAAACAACAGAACATAAGATTTCAGACTCTCTATCCTGCTAAATTGAGGGTCTTCTATCAAGATGGAACTGTGCTCTACTCGACAGCGGAGGAGGCGACTGCAGATATGCGAACCAGGTAGGGTTGCCAACTCCCTGAAAAAAAAAATAAGGGACACCTAATTGGCCAGGGCTGGGCGACCCGATTGTCTTCACCCTTCCCAGTGTGGGGAATTTCTTAGCTCTTGTTTTTGTGTGTGTAATTATTTTTTTTAACCATTTGACAAAGTGCATACCCTTTTCAGCTCAATACTTTTGTTTCTAAATACGGAACGATTCCGTTTTTCAAGGGACGGTTGGCAACCCTAGAACCAGGGGATTCCAGATCGCTAAAGTCACACCGAAGCAAACCCTAACGGAGCAACTGTCAAGTTCAGCGTGGGAGACGATGGGGATGTTGCAGCGGCGCGACTCAGAGGGGCACAGAGAAAGAACCATTCGTGAGCAGCTTCAGATTTTTAGGAGGCGCTCCCCCTCCACTACAGGAAACCAATGAGGATATACTACTCTGTCAAAGTGGGTGAGACAATAGATACCTTCCCCTTACTAGATGAATAGTTAAGACTATCAGAGAGACGATGGAGAAATGCACCTTAAAGGCGAAATCAGGGGCCCTTATCCTTTAGCAAGGACAGGCTTCCCCCTGCTGGTGGGACTTACACAACATATGTGCCAGGGTCTGATAGGAATGACCCCAACCTTGAGACTGAAGAAGTCACTTGGATGAGTGATGAAACGTTTCTCCCACAAAACGCTACGTCCAGATGAACAGAATCAACTTTTGGAGACCCCAACCTTGGAATCACGTTTTTCTTTTTTCTGTTTGGTTTTGGGCAGTTATTATTGTTAATTGTTCGGGTTCTCAGAGGGAGTTGACCAGTCAATAAGTTATTCAAGTTCTGATACTTCATTTTATGAAAAATGAGTGCCAAAGGGATTAAGGTTATTTCTTTTAATGTAAATGGGCTTACAAATCCTATTAAGCGAAGCAGGATTCTAACTAAAATGAAGAAAGATCGAGCACAAACCGTATATTTCCAAGAAACCCACTTGACTAATAATGAACATGAAAAACTCAAGAGAATGGGCTTTACAAACATGTTCTCCTCATCATACAAATCTGGCCGCAGGCGAGGTGTGGTGATATTAATTTCTAGGGATCTAAATTTTGAAAAGTTGTCTGAAATTAAGGATAAGGAGGGGAGGTTTGTACTGGTTCGGCGGACAGTTGATGGTAATCTGGTTACATTAATGAATGTTTATGCACCACGAGGAAGTGACTTGAGTTTCTTTAAAAAAATTATTAATATATTGGTGACAGAAACCCAAGGCCCCTTGATTTGTGGCGGCGATCTGAATATTCGCCTGCGGCCGGATTTAGATAGCTCTAATAGAAGAATGTCGGAATCAAGTACTTTGTATAAAAGTGTTTCTGCACTTTTTGAAGAGGTAGATTTAATTGACGTATGGAGAAATCGTTTCCCTACAAGGAGAGATTATTCTCATTACTCAGCTCCACATTCCCTTTACACAAGAATAGATTATTTCA